TTTGATTTCCTTTACAAAATAAGATCTTAAGTGAAGATCTGACTTCAACCTTATTCCCAAATAGCCACAAATCACATAGCACCATTAAAAAAAAATACCTGTTTTTCATATACTAAATTCTTTTCCTTGTAATATATTCTTATATATAAATTTTTAAATATCTATTCCATTCCATAGATCTCCTTACTAACCCCTGATCTCTTTACTAATTTCTAAGATCTCCTTACTAATTTCTAGAAATGTTTTAAAAACTGCAAGCTTTATGGTAAAGCTTAATTTATAGTAGATCAAATACATGTCCCTTTATTATTCCAGTTTTTCAGAATATTCATGGCTTCTTCCAGATGGATGAATGTTAGAACAATTTTGTAAAGTTTCAAAAAGATCTGCTAGGATTTTTTTTTATTAGGTTTTCATTAAACCCATAAGCTAGTTTAAGAAGAATAATTGTTTTTCCTATCCAGGATCATGGTAGGTCTTTTCCCATATTCAATTTAAAAGTATTTCTCTGTAAACTATATAATATTCTATATATGGGTCCAGTATATTTCATATTTAGTTATAGATTTCATAGATTTTTCTCTGAGGAATGTGGGGGTGTGGGGAGAAACTATTAGCATTTCTTGGAATGTTCTAACTCTAGTTTTCTCATTCTTTTTACAATGCCATTTTTGATAATGGCAGGTTATTTAAGGACTTAATTATCAATCCGTAGTAGAACAAACTATCCAATGCATATGAGGGTCTCCAGATTATAGCACCATGAAGAACCAGTTTCCAACTTCTAAGATGCCAAATTAGATGTGATTTTAGTTACCTGTCCAGAGCCTTTGGCCAAGCAGGGCAGTAATTTTTTCCCTCCTAATTGTCTTGTTAATGCATAGCTATTATCGTCAACGACTGTTTACTTCAGTTTCTTTGAGGGATATTCAGGAGAATTGGAGTACATTCACCACCGTCGGAGTCAAAAGTATGTTCCTGAATTACCCATCGCAGGCAATGGCATTACTGCAATGAAAACTTACCAGGTCCTCTCTTACACCCCCACCCGCACTTAAACTCTTGATGCTCCAACAGTGTTACTCAGCTGTATGTTTTCTTCATTCCAAGTTTCATTCTCCCATCTCTCTGCACTCATCTCCTGCCAGTGTTCCCACAGTGATATCTTTCACCTTTCCTATGGCCAGCGTGATCTTCTGTAAAACTCAAATCTGATCCTGACACTCCCTCACTTGTTCAAACACTGGATAAATCCAACCAATATAAATGAAGGAGGGCCTAGCTATATTTTATAATATTATGTTGGTTCTAGTCACACAAAGATAAAAAGGGCCGGACTTGTATCTAATTGTCAAGGAATAAAGGCCACATGTGTTAGTTTATTATGGGTTGAGTTCATTGCCCTGCATCCGTGTCCCAGCCGCAAGAAAGAATTCGAAGACAGAGACACAATAGCAAAACAGAGTGAATGTTTTACTTGAATTCACTTCAGGGGGGCAGTGGGACAGAGTCAAGGTAAACAAAGGCCTCCATCTGTTGTGTGGGAGGCCTATATATTGCATTCTGGCTAGGAGGTACCATTTTGATCGACAAGGTGGGGTTATTTGATTGACAGGTACACCTGCATAGCCATCCCTGTCAGTGCGCATGTCCTTTCCTATGATGGCGGCGTGTTGTGGGCAGTTCTTAGTTTTGTTCCATTGCTCCCACATTGGGAACAGGTTGGGACCAGTTTCCTGGTCCTGATAGGCAAAGAAGTCATTTCCCTTTAAAGCCTTTGTTGTGTTCACGTGAGACTTCTTACCCGGGCAGTTTTTCCTTGAATTTTATCTTCCCCTCCCCCTAGCTGCTCATGTCTATCTTCCTACCTCACAGCATCACAGGCGGGCTAGTGATGTGACCAGTCTGACCCCCGCCACTCCCTTCCCTGACCCTTGACGTGCAGCCATGCTGGACTCCTAGGAACACATTCACCTTGACTCTCCCTTGCTTTGACCAGGCCGTGCCTATGCCTGGCCTGCTCTTCATGGCAAAATCCTGCCCTTTCTTCAATGTCAGATTCAATGTTACGTGTGACATGAAGCTTTTCTCAATGCTTATCCTTCTTCTAACACCACAGGGGCAAGAGCCAACTGCCCCCTCCACGGCTCTCCCACAGCAGTTAGCTTGTGCTGGTGGTGTTGCTTCACCAAGACACTCGGAGAGCTCACTACCTCAGGGTCTGTCTTCTCAGCTTTATCATGGTTGTCTCGCAGCACAGGCCCTGTGCCAGTCACCTCGGATACCTGCTCCAGCACCCTGTCCTACAAATAGGCCCTGAAATGCTCTCCTCCGTGCGAGGAAGCTAAGAGCAAAGGAGGTACCCAGGCCTTTTTATTTTTCTGATAAATATGGTAGTGTTGTCTCAAGGCAAAAATTGAACATATTTTTTGCCTCTTAGAGTTGTATTATACTTCTTGGCCTCAGTGAAAACAGCTTGCAATCAGATAAGACTTTAGAAATGGGGTTGAGTTTGGTCTGCACCAGCTCTATGAATTTGAGCAAAGTTATCCTCCACAAGTCTCAGCTTCCTCCACTGCAAATATATCTACCCACCAGCCATGTTTTGTGGGTTATGGGAAATTATACAGATAAACTGAAAAACATTTTATAATGAGAAAGCTCTATATATCTCAGTGTTATTTTCATTATGGTTTTTTTATATGCAAATGGAGACAGTTTTACATGAAATACTTCTATTTCAGAGATTTTAGAAATTATTTTGAGGAATAAAGCCCATATAAGTATATTTAAGTACTTTATTTCTTTTTGAAAATGATACTCATATCTAAATTTGTCAAGGTTTTCTAATTTTTAAAATATCCTGGGGGGTGGGTACAAAATTGCATCTCCTCCTCCTTGTTTTCGGGTGATCCTGCTTCTAAGGTCATCATCAGGTCTCCACCGCTTAGAGTACTTATGTGGCGGGGACGGTATGTTGATGCTAATCTGTTTTCCTTCTCACTGTGTTTTTCCGTTTTCCTCCTCTCCATTCAAGCAGATAGTGGTTGCATGCTGACTGACTCAGGGGTAGTGCATGGCAGGGTGGACAAGAGAAGGCAAGCCTTTCTGGCTTTTGAATTCCAAGGGGGCAATCCTAGACACAGGGCCAGAAACAGCAAGGAGGATGGAGCCACCTTCCTGGACTCAAGACATTGTCCTGGGTTGGGGAAAGGAGATGAGAAGACAAAGAGCCATCCATGGGCTCCAGAAGCAGAGGCTACCTGTGCCCCGCTTCTAAGAAGTGCTACCAGGAGGGGTGGCACGGCCCCATTACATGAGCTGTTTGGGGTGTCTGGAGATACTACTTCTCTAGTCAGTGGGGAAGTTAATAATCTCTATAATGGGATCAATAATATCCACCTCACCAAGCAAAGCAATTTTTGGAATTATAAGACATAACACATGTGAATGGCTGGTACTGAGTAGGTACTCAGTAAATATTATATTCCCTCCAAAACCCACTTACATTTTGGTCCTGCCCGTCAAACCAGTTCTATTCCTGATTACCCCCATGCTCCATTTCCCAGTCTTGCTCCTAGAATGCTGAATGGCACTGAAGAAAAAAAGATAAAATACAGATAAGAGCCAAGCTGCCTCCTTCTAAGCTCCTCCCTCTTTGGCCCTCCACCTCCTCCTGCTCCTCCTCGCGCTCTCCATCTCCCCTTGTCCTCTCCTCGTCCTTCCTCCCTTCTCCTATCTCCCGCCTCTCCTTCCTCTTCAGGTTCTTTTATAAACTTCATTGTGATGCTAAGCGCAGTCCTGGTGGCCTTCCCGCAGTCTCTCACCCAGTCTGCAGACACTCAGTCCTCTTCCAGCTCCCAGGAAAGCAGAGCCTCTGTTTGGGCAGCGCTCGGCAACCCCTTTGCCCACGTGTCTGCCTGGCAAGAGTATACAGGGTAGGGCAGGGGTAGGGCCTTCCTGACAGAACACTGTCTGCCTTCCGAATGGAAGAGCTCTTTGGTTATAAAGCAGTGATTGAAGATGATTTCTGTCTGTAGAAAAGTTCCCTTTCAGGGTCTCAGGGTTGAAAGGAATATCTTAAAGAACTAGATACTCCTTTTGATTTCCTGTGTCTGGGTGGCAACTCTCTCTGATAGTAACAGCAACCATGAGAGCGCATGGCCTCAGAAAATGTGGATGGGGAGGAGGAGGCAGGCAGGTAAATGACTTATTCACAGACTTGCAGTTTATGATGTCCTGTAGCATCTCTGAGACCTTGGGTACTTCCTCCCAGCCCTTTGACTCTGGTGGGACCTCCAGGAACACAGGCAGGAGGGAATTTCTAGAAAGGCTTCACTGTGAGCTCAGCAGGGAGACAGGTCTGGTTCCCTTTTGAGCTGAGCATGCTTGTCAGATAACACTCAATTCTCTACTTAGCTACTCCAGAAATGGTTGGATTTCTCTGTGTGGTTACTCAAGTTTCTACCCGCCAAAAGGTGTGGCAGCCCAGCATTGGGGCATATTTGATAATACTTTGTACTTGTATAAATAAATTGGGGTTTCCCATGGTCCCTTCAGAAGGAGAGGCCTGAGATTGTTCAAAGGCATCTCTAGAGTGGTCCTCCTTGGGGCAATGTTACCATTTATTTGTCTCCTAGCAGATCCTCAGAGTCCTTAGAGAATAGGAAAGGTGATAGATAAATTTTGATCATAGGCAAATCAATGTGGGAACCGTTGGCATGGGCTTGGGGAGACAGATGTAGGCAGAATGCTGCACTGGGGCCCTGATTTCCAGATGGGGAAGGATGTGTGGAGTGCCGAAGTGTGATTACCTTCACCTTCGTATAGTTAACCTTCCAATAGCTATGGATAGGCTGTGATTGTGGCTGTGGACCTTCTCAGAAAGCAAGTTGTCCAGGGATTGGCCTGATCTGTGTCTCTGTTTGTTTATTTTAACCCTGGGGGTGGATATGGTTTACTTTACTTTGCAATATCTTTGTTCTTTCTGGTCCTTACAGATTCATGAAAGTGGCAGGAAGCACAGTGGATGCAGTTACCTGGCAACAGTAGGTATTCACCACTTTTGCTCTTATTATCAGCTGCTGTGAAATTAAAGATAATTCGTTGTCATGAGGTTTATAGCTGACATTTAGTAAGCTATAGTTCATCGTCCAAGAAAAAAGTTAAAACTAACTGCACAGCTGTTTTTATATGCATGCTCTCTCATAGTGATATAATTTTGTTTCCAAAAACGAAACAAAAAAATGTGAACACATTTTGGAAAGCTCAGCTCTTACGTCCACTTTTATATTAATCTGTCATCAGTGAACAGGTAATGAGAATCTGAACACGCCACCATTTCCCCATAAGCTTTCCCTTGAGAATAAATTTCCTTAAGAGAAGAAAGTTTTAATTACTCAAATACCATGTGAAAATAGAAACACTTCATTACATTAATGGCAGTGCTCTTAATTACTCAAAGGAAGTCACAAATATGAAGCAATTAAGGAACAAAGAATATAAAGAGAATGCAGCTTCAAGAGAGGATAAACCCCGTTAGGAAGAAGTTTACAATGGCAAAGACCTGTTACAAGCAAAGCACAGCTTGTCTTGTAAAGATAATTACCTGATATATAAATTTAAATTTTCTTTAAGCCTCTTTATGGTATTCGTGCTGGAATGTCCAGCACCTCACAATATCTCACTGGTTTTATACTGGAACCCTGCCCTTCCTTTTTGTAAGAAGTCTATCCCATAGCATCTTTCAAATCACCTTCATTCAATGTGGTGCTCACAGCTCAGATGTGCACCTCCATGCTGGGCTCTCAGAGCTGTCAACGATAGCCATCTTTCCTGTTACTCTAACTCCACTTGCCTAGCACATTTATTCCTCTTATCTATCCTCCATATTAAGTGGGCCATAGTATCCCTTGGGATTTATGACAGTTGTGAAAGAAAGAGAAGTGGCTGACATTTTTGCTAAGTACCCCTAAAGGATTTTTCATGGTTGACAATCAGTAACTTCAAACATAATGGAAAATATTTTATTGTACATTTACATGCTTCAGTTCTCTAAACAAGAAGTCTCAAATGTTTCCAGAAATTCTTACCCTCTTTCATTTGTTTTTGTGGGTCATAGATTAAGTCTGAGGATCTTGTCATTTCCTTGCTTAACACCCCTCAGTGCCTGCCCTTTGCCCTGAGACCAAAAGCCAAACTCTCCACTCTGGTCTATCAGACCCTTTGTATTTGGCCTTTGCTACCTTCTGATGACATCTGGTGCCACTCTGCCCTTACTTATTCTGTCCTGACACACTGGCGGTCTTTCAGTTCTTAGAGGGTTCATATGCATATCTGCTGCAGGATCTTTGTATGTGCTATTCCCTCTGCCTGGAATGTTGTTCTCCCTATTTTTTTGTGTGCCTGGCTCCTCCTCATCTCTTAAGACTTAGCTTACATGTATGTCCTCTCCTTCAAGAGGACTCACCTAATGACCCAATCTAAAACACATTCCCCATTTAATTATCTTTCTTAGCCCTTCTTCTCATAGTAACTGTCATAACTTACAATTATTATTTTTTGCTCATAACTTGTTTTTGTAATTTGTTTTTCTTCCCCCAGAATAGCACTTATCCAATTCAACAAGTGCTTATTTAGACAGTTCATTATTGGGCATTTAATATGGGGGAAAATAATAACAATAATAATAATAACAATGTGGCAGGAATGTTACAAACCTTTATAACTGGTTTTTACAACAACCAAATGAGGTTGGGAATATTTTTATCTCTATTTTCTACAAGATATAGGAAGTTGTAGAAAATACAAAGATTACACAGAAAGTGGCAGATTTTGGCCTTGGAATTGGGTACGTCTGACTGAAAGGGCTGTTCTCTTTTTTTTTCAACTTTTTCACCTTTTTTAATGGATAAAGTTAAAAAGAAAACAATGTCATTGCAGGTAGGGCTAACCAAACATATTGTAAGCAATGCTTTAAGTGTAAATTGGTAGGATCAGAAATCCTCTTATATCATATGTTTGTAATTTCAACCAATTCAATTTTAGTAATGTATAGTCATTTCTCATTCCATCATAGTTTACAATAGCTGAAGCTTGGTAACGATTCTGTGACAGTAGAAAATTACCACACATCTATACAATGAAATACCATGCAGCCACTAAAAGAATGGTGTACAAATACACTACTGACATGAAAATATTTTATAACCATGATCAAGTGAAAAAAATTTACAAAGTGGCATACAAAAATTCTGTTTCCAAAATATTTATTTAGGGACCATTTGTAGAGTGCTCTACTCTGTGCCAGGGTACTCTTCCAGGTGCTGAGGATATGAGTATGTTTAGAAAGTTTGGAAGAATATACGTAAAATATTAATAATAGTGAAGATCTCTAGGTGGTAAAATACTTTTCACATTCTCTACAATAGATATGCATTACTTCTATAATATCTTCAAGTTTTTTTTTTGAGAGGGCATCTCTCATATTTATTGATCATATGGTTGTTAACAACAATAAAATTCTGTATAGAGGACTCAATGCACAATCATTAATCAACCCCAAGCCTAATTCTCAACAGTCTCCAATCTTCTGAAGCATAACGAACAAGTTTTTACATGGTGAACAAATTCTTACATAGTGAATAAGTTCTTACATGGTGAACAGTGCAAGGGCAGTCATCACAGAAACTTTCGGTTTTGATCATGCATCATGAACTATAAACAATCAGGTCAATTATGATTATTTGTTTGATTTTTATACTTGATTTATATGTGAATCTC